TGTGTATATTGCAACCGCTAGTAACTACAGGTTATATGAATTTCACTGTATACGTCTGGTATTTCTAGAATGGCAAAAAAATGAATGAAAGTCACTCCACTCCACTAAGTACAATTATATTACTGGTTAGTTGCTACTACAACACTGTATTCTCCTATTCACTGGTATCACTAAATTATATCGAGGTACACTAGCAGGCCAGAAAGATTATTAAAACAGCTGACCTGTGTGGTAAGTTTCTGGCGACTTCTGGCACCTGCCTCTTTAAGCCTATCACTTCACTTTCAATTACACCTGTTTTAAATGACACTTTAGCATTTATTATCTATGGTGCCACTGTAGTATACACTATAACACTATGTATACACAATATTATCAGGGAGACTTTCTGTCCTCTGATATAGAAAAGTTCTATTATTATTATTTTTGCACACGGCACACAGGCCTATGATTCCCCTCTGGGAGTAAAACTCTGTTAGGTATTCCACACTAATCCTCTTTTATGACTCAGTATGTACTATTTTCTCCCCAAGATTGGCTCCAAGCGCTAGAGGGATGTATCATATAAGATTGATGGCACAAATTAAAGTTCTAGCACGTAAGAGAGACGTGAAAACATGAAAAAACACGGAGCACAACGAGGCACGGCAGGCACTCTTCCCCTCACTAGCACATTAAGAGACAATACAATAAGTGTCAGGGGCCCGAGACTGTTCAACTGCCTCCCAGCATACATAAGGGGGATTACCAATAGACCCCTGGCTGTCTTCAAGCAGGCACTGGACAAGCACCTAAAGTCGGTACCTGACCAGCCGGGCTGTGGCTCGTACGTTGGATTGCGTGCAGCCAGCAGTAACAGCCTGGTTGATCAGGCTCTGATCCACCAGGAGGCCTGGTCACAGACCGGGCGGCGGGGGCGTTGACCCCCGGAACTCTATCCAGGTAAACTCCAGGAAGACTTTCCCCTTCATCCAAATTTGCTGTAACTTATAGATAATAACTTGGAATGGCTCATCTATATACTGTACTTTGAGATACGACTAATGGAGTTAGAATTTTGATTATACTGTTTGCAATATAACAGTAAATTGGTCATGTCGGTAGAAAGTTGGTGTGAGGTGCTATCAAAAAGTTCTGAAATTGAATTTTTGAGCACTTCTTGGGTGAAATACAGCAGCGGCATAGATCATGCTACACAGTACACTCCATTGTCTCAGTGTAGTTGGTCATTCCACTGTTAGGTAAGAAGAGTTCAACAAATATTTAAATAAGTGGCAGAGGCACTGGGATCAGTGTATAGCCTCCCAAGGAAAGTATAATGGAACCCCGGACATCAGCTGGTGCGGATATCGGCCAAATCGGATTTCGGCTGCTCTTTTGGCTGAAATTCTATCCTAAATTTTGGCTGGCAACTCAGAAATAGGCTGTATTGGATGCGTCCGCCCGCCCGCATGCATGAGTCAATCGGGCTGTCTCTCTTGGTGAGTGAGCAACACTGCACATTCATCCAAACATTTTGTTATAATCCATTTTTTTTGTGGTTATTTATTGAGTGTGACTGTAAAATAGGCCACCAAGGGCCCAGAGAAAGTTCCTAGTGCCAGCCCTCTGGTCAAGAAAGTGAGAAACACAATAGAATTCCACATAGAAATTGTAGCAAAGTACAAAAGTAGTGTATGTGTGCTCCAGCTTACCAGGATGTATGGCAAATCCAAATCAACAGTCATTTCCATCTTGGCAAAGAAAGTAGAAATCAAGGAAGCTAATGTTGCGAAAGGGGTAAATATGCTAACAAAACAAAGATTGCAAACAGTCAAAGATGTGGAGAAGTTATTGTTGGTGTGGATCAACGAAAAACAGTTAGCAGGAGATAGTGCTGTGGAGTCAATCATTTGTGAAAAGGCAAGGCAGTTGCATGCAGATCTCGTGAATAAAATGCCTGGAACGAGTGCTGCTGTTAGTGAATTTAAGGCCAGCATAGGCTGGTTTGACAGATTTAAGAAGCGTAGTGGCATATCTGTACCATGTTCATTGACAAAACCTTGTCCCACTTCAGGCAAATCATGAAGAGATGCCAGAAACAGAGCTCTCTGGACAGTTTTTTTGTGTGACAGGGGTGCTGTGACTCTCAAGCTGGTCCTAGTGCCAGTAAGACAAAGAAGGGAAGTAACCCTGGATAGGGACTTGATACCTAAAGTCCTTGTGGAGGGGGATTCCCCTTCCAAACAATAACCAGTCCTCTGTCTTCAGTAAAGATATGTAATAGTGATTTAACCCTTAAACTGTCCAAACAGATCTATGGTCACATGCGTAGTGCTCCAAAAGTAGATCTACGTTTTTTTACATATTTTCAATAACGAAAAAAAAAAAAATGTAGATCACAGTTTTTTTTTACAAGTTTTCAAATGTATTATTATTATTATAATCAAGGGGGAAGCGCTAAACCCGGAGGATTATACAGCGCCTGGGGGGGGGGATGTGGAAGGCATTCAGGCTTAATTCGGGGAACTGGAGCACAGATCCAATTCCCTAAATCAAGAGCCCCTCACCAACATCAAGGAACCTTCCTTGAGGGGTTTTCAAATGTAAAAACAAAAACAAAACAAAAAAGATTACTTTTTTTTTTTTTTTTTTTACATACTTTCAAATGTTGAAAAAACGTAGATCTACGTTTGGACTGTTTAAGGGTTAAATGTTCATTTATTTATTTTTGTTAATATTTTTGGGTGTCTGGAACGGATTAGTTGTGTTTACATTAATTCTTATGGGAAATATTACTTTGGTTTTTGGCCTTTTCGGATTTAGGCTGACCTTCTGGAACGGATTATGGCTGAAATCCAGGGTTCCACTGTACCTTGAGGAAGACAACTTCAACTAGGTGATTAGGTAAGCTTATATATATATTTTTTTTTATGGCAGTCCAGGAACTTTTTGATAGCACTTTATTGTTATATTTATGTGGAAGTGCTAAACCTGTGAGGATTATATAGCACCTGTTAATGGCAGGTAATTAGGTGTGATCCAAGGAAGGGAAAGGTATTTGCAGTTCCTTGGATCAAGAGCCCTTCAGTGACATCAAGGCAATCCCTTCCCTTCCCTTTCAAGGACAAATTGCCATAAGGAATAATAAGGCACAATACCATGACTGGAACAGTGCACAAATAACCCATGCATGGTCTGACCTGAACCAGTGTTCTGAGAAATGAGCCATTAGGCGATTTCATCATTGTGTGAACATCATAGTGTGTACTTAAACCTAGATAGTATAGCCTATTGCCCCTAGGCTACAAACCTGTACAGCATGTTGTTGTACTGTATATAATTGTATGTGCATAATTGTACACAGCCATGTGTGCGCTATACTATTATACGCCTGGCAGCTCAGTAGGTTTGTTTACACCATCACCACAAACATGCGAGAAATGTGTTACACTATGACATCACCTGGCAATGGGAATTTTTCAGCTCCATCGTAATTTTATGGGACCACCCTCGTATATGTGGTCTGTCGTTGACCAAAACTACATGAGATGGGGTGGGGATGAGGGAACGAGAGGAGGTAGAAGTATAATAGCAGTAGTGGTGGAATAGTATTATTATTAGTAGTAGTATAAGTAATGCAATAGTGACAGAGGTCAAAAGGAGTAGTAGCAGTGACACAAGAGTCAGAGAGTGGAGTGTTAGCGAAGCGGAGGTGGTGGCGGCGGTAGTGGCAGCTGCTGCTGGGTGTTTCAGCTGGAATATTCTCAACACAAGATGTTAGTCAATATGTTACATATTTGGGGGTGGGAGCACTAAACTCACTGGGGCCATACAGTGCTTGGGGGAATGGGAGGGCAATTGGGTTTGATCCAAGGAAGGGGATGGCAAGTTCAACTCCTTTATTAAAATTAGAAAAGGGTTTGTGCAGAATGCTAAACTGATAGGGAGGTCATTCAGTACACAGGAAATGGGAGGCAATCAAGTTCAGTCCAATAGGAGGAAAGTTGTACTTCCTAGAGTCAAGAGCTCCCTCACTGGCATCAAGGCATCTCCCATGAAATAAGATAATTTTTGTAAGACCATTGTTTTCACTTCTGTATATTGGACTGGCAATATTATCAATGATCTTGCAGATCAAGACTATGTAGTAATCAGCATCAAAAAGTTTCTAAGAATGGGTTTCTAACTGACACTTGCTTTGATGCAAGAAAATTGATTTTTTTTCTAAGACAATCAATTTTTAAACAACTGATTTCCATAGAACAAATGATTACTGAGATAAACACTAAGAATTCTGAAAGATGGCATTCAAAGACAGTAAAATGTTGTATTTCCCATATGGTTTAAATCTTATTTTTAGAAATAAACAAAATGGGTATCTCAGTCTACTAATGAACAGTTTTTATTCTGTATTGCTAAAATTAAATTATGAGTGATTTAGTAAAAAATGTAATTAAAGATAATAAGTGGTTTAACATGTAATGGAAGACTGAAAGCATGGTCCAAAACATTATAAATGTCCATGAAGCCCTGTCCAGTCAGATTATGGTTACTGTATATTCAGAGGAACTATGTCTTTCTTGCACTCAGCAGATGGAGGATCAAGCCTTCACCATATCCCATGATTTTTGCTGAATGACCCAAATGGATTTAGCTCATAACATGAAGTAAACAAACAATAATGGTCAAATGTAGTTTTCAGGGTGTAATGTCAACACGTATGGGGACAAAGACACAATTATGCAGATCAGGCATTTATTTGAACAATATTTTGTCCTCCTTAAAACCAAAATACTGTCCAAATAAAGGCTTTCATTGCATACTTGAGTATTTGTCTACATATTTTTGTCAAAAGAAAGCATTGAGATTAAAATGAGTTATCTTACATCTCCATTTTCTTTATGAATTTGCTCTTCTGCCAACCTTCACTCTTTTCTTGCTAATCCCTTTGCAACTATTCAAATTTCAAGATCATCTATGGTACAAAAATCATTTTGGATATTCACAACACAAACCTAAAGATTTTTATTAACATTTAAAATGGGAAAAGTAAACAATTTATTATGACACTAAACATCCTAATCTGTAATTTTCTAATTAACATATCCATAAAGATATACAGTACTGCCCCTACATGTATGTTATGGCATATATAATAAAGATAAATAAATGGAAGTCCAACGCACAATGGCTGAACAAAACAGGTAGTGTAACTCACAATCATGTTAGTGTACATTATTACTGTAATAAAAGTTAACTGCTAAACCTGAAAGGGTATTACTGAGTGGTAGTGTACAATGTATGAGAAAACCAAACACTACTTTGATGTCATTGCAAATATCTATACAATATTTTTTATTTGGCATTTGGAGCTGATGTGTAAATAACAATAAATTAGGTACCAGCTATGATAATTGAAAAGGAAAGGTAAACATCAAGATGTTCCTATATTAAATTATAACTAGTGAAAGTGACTATTGTAATTCAGGAAGTGCCAAACCCATAGGGGTCAAATAGTGCCTGGGGTATTGGGAAACAGTCAGGTTCCATCTAAGGAAGGGGAGGATAAGCTCAGTTCCTTGGATCAAGAGCCACTCATTGCTATCAAGGTACATCTCCAATGAGAGATATGAAACTGAGCAACATTGTTACAATAAATTTAACATTAAAAATATTCACATACCTGGCACTCAGCTCAGATGAAAATCAGACAGTACAGTATATATATTTTCTGCTTAATTAAATACAGAATTCTGGGTGGGGAACATTATAATGGTTGGCAGAGTGACTGCCACTCAACTGTTAACTGCCCTGTACTTAACCCTTTGAGGGTTTCGGAGGTACTAGTACGGCTTACGACCCAGGGTTTTTGATGTACTAGTACGCCTAAATTCTAGCGCCCACAAATCTAGTGGGAGAAAGCTGGTAGGCCTTCATATGAAAGAATGGGTCTATGTGGTCAGTGTGCACAGTCTAAAAAAAATCCTGCAGCACACAGTGAATAATGAGAAAAAAAAAAACTTTGACCATTTTTTTGGATAAAACAGCGACTTTGCACTGTATTTTCGTATGGTATTTATTGTTGTATTCTAGTTTTCTTGGTCTCATTTTATAGAATGGAAGACATATTACAGAAATTGAGATGATTTTAACTGGTTTTATAATGAAAGATACCTTGAAATTGAGCTCAAAGTAGCAGAAATGTTTGATTTTTACCAAATTTCAAAAGTAAACAAATCGTGCCAATGGTTCAATACACGTCAACTGGTGAGTCTAATATTCTTTCACAAGTGCGCCAATAATATTTATACCATTTTTTACACTAATGCAGTAGTCTGCATAACGGTAAATCTTATATTTTTTGCGAGAATAAAAATTCAAAGTGGAAAGCAAAAGAATATAAGAGGGGCCTTGAGACGTAACTAATGACCAGAGGAAATGTCATTTTAGTGCCAGGAATGTCTTTCTTGTTTATTCTGGACCCAATTCGGAAATTGGCATCTTTTGAAATTTGTATGAAATTGGCAAAATTGCTAAATTCTGACCACTGTACTGGATAGTTGAGTTTCATAAATGGGTGGTTTGTTGCATCCATTCGATAGAAAAAATGGAGTTCTAGCGAAATATTCATGTTTTTTGTCGACTAGTACAGTGGAATTGGCCGAAAATGGGGCTCAAAGTGGGCAAAATCGCCGATGCATAAACATCCCCGAGACCGCTAACTTCGCGAGAGCATAATTCCGTAAGTTTTCCATCAAATTTCAAACTTTTGGTGTCCTTATGATCGGGAAAAGATTCTCTATCTTTTCATAAGAGAAAATTATTTTTTTTTTTTAAATTTGGCCGACCCTGAGAACGAGTTTCGGAGAGGGCCTGTCGACCCTCAAAGGGTTAAAATATTGTATCAGGTTTACTTTCAAAACTTTATTTGTTATTCCAGCTAAGTGCAGTTTATATTATTTTATTCAATGTAATACATTATTATTATTATTATAATCAAGAGGGAAGCGCTAAACCCGGAGGATTATACAGCGCCTGGGGGGGGGGAATGTGGAAGGCATTCAGGCTTAATTCGGGGAACTGGAGCACAGATCCAATTCCCTAAATCAAGAGCCCCTCACCAACATCAAGGAACCTTCCTTGAGGGGTCAATGTAATACAGTAATTAACACCTGAAACAAAACTGAAATGTTTAAAATTATCTCCATTATTAACTTAAAAAAATTCCACATAAATTGTACTTTTTGTATTATTCTTAACCTGCCTCCTGGCTTAGCGCTTCTTTTTTATTATAATAATAATTAACCTGCCTCCACTCACTCTGATCTAATACACTCACACATTCTTACTGGATGTTAAATTCTCTATCACTTAAAATCTCCTTTGCAGCTTCATTTCAGGAACATTTCCTACACCTTTTGGGATTTGATGTGCTGTTGAAGAGCGAACAGTAACATTCATGAAGAAGTTCTGGTTATGTTAAATGTGTTTCCTTTTTTTTTTGGGCTATCCTTCCTTGGTTTGAAATAGCCTGGGTAAGTAATAATATTTTTTTATGATAAATATACTGTATCTTTATTTTATTCCATTTGACAGCAGTTAATCTGTTAATACATATTCAAAAGAGATGAGACAGCAGGTTCTTAACTTGTATGTTTTGTGGACTACCAAACCCATGATAAAAAGGATGGCTCTCTTCCATTATTATTAATAATGAGAAATAATCTTTATTAGTTAAATCAAATACTGCACTACAATATGCAATGTAAAAACTGAACACACAGTTACACAACTAAAGTGAAAATGCAGACGATCTGTGTTGGCTTGTGACTGATTAAGAGACAGACCAGGCTGTGACTGACTGTTGCCATGTTATGTTAGCAATACAATCTGAAGTAGAGGCAAACTTCACAGAACTAAGCTGAAAAACGGTAAAGCTTTTTATAAATTTCCCATGAAGATTTTCAGGTTTTTATATACTATAAAAAATTAATTATTTTTAACTTTCAACAATGTTTATAATATTGAATGTACAAAAGTTTCACAATTTAGTAAGACTACAAATGAACATCTGAACAAATGCAAACCTTCAGTTTAGTCTTCATACATGTCACTTGTGAAAATATAAGATTTTGGAAATACTGTATACAATAATATTGAAAATATGGTGGTTTCTTGTAATGAACTTAAAAATGGAGTTTTACTCTTGCTTTGTATAGATTCACTTTATCCTGATTCATTATTTTGTAAATTCCTTTTTCTCTTGGTAATTCTCTACATGCAATATGCATTCATCACGTACCATAGGTGCGTTTCACAAAGCACATCAAAGATTCCTGTTATGTGAAACTAACCTGATTGAACTTAGCACAGCTTCCATGGGCCTGAAATACATCTACTGCCTAAAGCAAATGGCAATTGTATGATACTGATATGTAATTTAATATGGTACACAACTGATCTGTTCAGAGAACAGTGCAAAATGTATTTTGTACATAAAGTAAAAGCTCAGACTTACAGCATTCCAATTTAAATTTCACACTTATGAAACTGGCACATTGGAATCAGTCAATTACAGTAGTTTATGAATGCTGCTCTGCAGTTACTGTCTTTGCAAGACAGTATTCAAATTTTAAATAAATATTTTTCTCAGTTTTAACTAAATGCATTAATACTTTGTGTATGTTGATTTTATGCTTGCATAGAGAGCTCGTGTTGTCTGGTAGAGAATGGTCAAGAACCATAATTTTAATAACTATGATTTTCTTAAGGCTGATTACAGTATGCATTTGTTTCATGGTAAGTTTTTTACAAAATGCACCCATACTTTGTGCATGTTTGCTTTATGCACGTATAGATCCCTCAAGGAAGGTGCCTTGATATTGGTGTGGGGCTCTTAGTCTTGGGAAGCAGACCTGTCCTTACCTTCCTTGGACTGAACCTGATTGCATCCCATATTCCATGTGTGCTGTGTGGCTCCTATGAGTTTAGTACTTTGCCTGATTACAATATATGCATAGAGAGCTCACATTTGTTAAGAATTATAGATTAAATAATTACATTTTATGACTGGGCTGTGGTAGCTGCTGCTTTTAAGTACTGGACATAGTCATCGGTTAAGGTACAGAACCTCATGCCACACCCTCCCACACACATTTACACTTGTTAATACCTTCATAATCTACATATCACCCCCTCATCCCCCACCTTATCCCCTCTCCAATTCTCAACCTCTCTCTGAGACAATCCAGCTACTGCCCACCCCTACATATAAGTAATGTACTGTATACAGTACCATATTTACCATAATTAAACAAAGTTTATTACCACTGAAAAGGAACAGTACAGAGTGCAAAATACTGTTACAAGTTAAATGAAATTAGATACAGAATATTGTGGTTTGGGAATATGGGTATTTATAGGGAAATAGGTTAGCAGTTCCAAACACTTGACTTGCAAACAATTTTCAGGAAAGCATTAATGTTGTAGGTTTTGACTCTGTTGTATGTTTATATACTTTATCTGTGTACATTGCTTCATTCCTGTGAATATTCGCTTGTACAATCATGGCTGTGCCATTCACCTGCAATCCTCCCTGAAGATCTGATCACCATTTCTCTTGCACTCCTCTCTACCATGTCTACAGTACTGTATCCCCTCAAGAGAGGTTCCTTGATGCTGGTGAAGGGGCTCTTGATCTAGGGAATTGGATCTGTGCTCCAGTTCCCTGAAGTGAGCCTGAATACCTTCCATTCCCCCCCCCTACACGCAGGCGCTATAATCCTACGGGTTTAGCCCTTCCCCATTATTATAATAATAATACAATACTGTATAATGATGCTTTTCCCATTCAGTAGAGAAAGGGGGATCTGTATTTCAATAAATTCTTCGACCTACTGTGTGATGGCAGTGCCATAAGATAAATCATCTAGGCAGAGACAATCTTAACTTTCTTAACACCAACCTACTCAGGCAATTAAAATGTTGTATTTTCCATCATATAAGACATCCATACTATAAATGTATTTACTATTTATATGAATATTGCAGTGAGGAGAATGGAGGCAATGAAGGTGTTATGTCTGAGATCAATGTGTGGTGAATAATATGCAGAGAATAAGGGGTGAAGAAATTGTAAAACATTGAGGTGATATGAAAGATATAATTTAGCAAAGGGGTTGCAGAAATGGTTTGATCATTTAAAAAGGATGGTGTAAAACAGCTCTATAAATCTGGGATAGATGGAAGGCTATGTCACAAATGTTTGAGGAAGGACTGAGAAGAGATTTTTAAGTGTTAGGGGCTTCAGCAGTCTCTACTGTTAGTGTGATAAGGAAACACCTATGAGGGATTCAGGGGAAATCAGTTAGCCAGACTTAAAATGGCTGATGTATTAAAAACAAAAACAAATAAAATTCACATGTGCATTTAGTTCAAAATGCTTAATCACTGCTAGAAAGTCTTAACTGTCAGTTTTGGTACTTTTAATACTGTGTGAGTTGAAAGGGTCTTGTTTGCTGCAACACTGAATATGCTGGTGACATAGTGCAATGTTTCAATGTCACTCTATTTCTACTTTCATTAGTGTTTTACGTTGTCTCAACTTTATATCTGATAATACACTAATAAGTCAATCTTTTTGTTTTGCAGGTATAGAGTAACATATATTTATGCATTAATAACTGTTCAAGGGCTCTTAATCGAAGAAATTGGAGCTATCACCCCTTTCTTTATCACACCTGATTGCCTCCCAGTCCCTAGGCACTGTATGACTCATGCCCCTCAAGGAAGGTTCCTTGATGTTGGTGAGGGGCTCTTGATTTAGGGAATTGGATCTGTGCTCCAGTTCCCCGAATTAAGCCTGAATGCCTTCCACATCCCCCCCCCCCCAGGCGCTGTATAATCCTCCGGGTTTAGCGCTTCCCCCTTGATTATAATAATAATGTATGACTCATGTTAAACACTTCCCCATGAATATAATAATGAGTTGGTAAATAGAAGAGCTGTAAGACAACAAATTGGTAGCAAAACTAAAGCATATATTCTGGCACTTGATGAGTCATCTATCCCTGCATTAAGACAACATGGTGTGAAATAGCTGGTGTAAATGTTGAAGAATATTTGACAGTACAGTACTTTAGATTTTCTTTTAATGTTCCAGATATAATGTTTTAGTAACACAAATATTGTCAGATTCAGAACACTAAACAAAAGAGCAGGCCTTTTAAACATAAAAGAATATCACCTTTTCATTAGTAAATTTTTGACACTGGTCACATTAGATGAAAGGTGAATTTTGAACTTCATTAAAAAATTGAATCTTGTAAGACAGAAAATGTGAAATCTGATAGTAATTACCATCACCTACAACATCATACAAATATAAAATTTGAAATATGGTTTGTTGTATAATAAGTTCTCTCTAATTTGTAATAATGTGTTTAGGAAGCAAGGAATGGGGAAGTTCCAAGTTATAGAAAATTGCAAACTCCTGGTTTGGACAAAAAAAAATCTGAATACAATCTGGAATTATTGTCATTTGGAATTTTTTCTTCACAGAATGAGTACCGTAACTCAAATTTAAAAAATGTGAAGAGTGCTCTTCCTTAGTCTTGAAAATTCCACAAGTTACCTGACATAGATAAATAATTTTTGTTTTTGCTTTTACAGTGGTCCCTCGTTTTTCGTAATTAATCCGTTCCTGGAGGAGCTACTATAAACGAAATTTACGATTTGCGAATCAATTTTCCCCATAAGAAATAATGTAAATACAATTAATCCGTTCCTGACACCCAGAAGTATTAAAACAAAAAAAATTTTACATGAAATATACATGTAGTACATAAACAATACAATGAGAAATGATGAATGAAAAATTAACAGCATAACGCTTACCTTTATTGGAGATTCTTCTTAGTGTATGGGAGACTGGAGGAGGAGAGAGATTGGATTGTTTACAGTTTGGAAGAGGAATCCCCTTCCAGCAACACCTCAGGTACCAATTGCTTTTCTGGGGTTACTTCTCTTCTCTGTTTCTTAATGCCACTAGGACCACCATGAGAGTCACTGGAGTCCTGTCTCGCAAAATAACTGTGGAGAGAGCTCTGTTTCTGGCGTCTCTTTAACACTTCCCTAAAATGGCCCAAGACTTTGTCACTGTACATATTTCTCACCTTCTTTACCACAGGCTTGGCACTAGGAGCTTTCTTTGGAGCCATGGTAGCTTATTTAGTACTTGCAAGCACTAAAATGAGTGGAATATTATGAAATATTTCGTAGGAGCACTTGAGGGGACCTTCACTCACTGGTAAACAATGCCAGACTGGCTGGGTAGGGAGGCCTCCCCGGCTTATACCGTGCTTATGCGTTCCGGATGAACTACTATTTGCGAGTCAACCTATGAAAAACGAGTCCATGTTTATACGAAAATACCCCTATGATTGGCGAAATTTACGATTGCCGAGAACTACGAAAAGCGAGGGACCACTGTATTTGCAAAAAATAAAAAACAATAATGGTTATTTCAGTAATTATATTTAAAATCTGAAATTCTGGAAAGCATTCATCTTTATTTAGAAAGTTTGACTAAATTTTATAAAATCTGAAATGAAAATGGAACTTTTTTGATCTTACTGGAAAAACCTAACCTCTGACTATTTCAATTTCAAAATTTATTTTCTAAATTTGGGAGAACTCCACGTGATAGATATTATACAGTGTATTATTCATTATAAAATATTACGGTTAATATTACCACTACTGCAGATTATTTTATAAAATGAAACTACAATGGTTCATTCCATTTTTTAATATAAAGTAGTTATTAAAATTTAACTCTTATCTAATAACATCAAGTTTATGTCAAATATAATACATGTATATTTACAAGATGTAAATTACAAAGAGACTATAGCTAAGGATGCTGTTATCTTTACAAATAAAAATGTACAATAAAACTTAATTTACAAGCACAAGGCAAAATACTGTGATAAATGACAAAGATAAGGGTTGTAGCTATTTTTATGCTCTACAATTATTTTGAATATTACTGAACAATGAGATGCTCACATATCAAATGTTAAATATCTAACAGAGTAACAATAATGCCAGGAAATCTTCGGTATTCTGGTACAACTTTGTAGCTTTATAAAGAAAATATTTTATAATTTAAGACAAAATATTACTTGTAATCCAACCAGAAAATATTCCATTATCTATTGTTAAACACCAAGAACATTGACTTACACTAGGCCTCACGCTGAGTTACTCAGTTCCTGCAGTATGGACAAGTTTTCGAATGCACCAAAATCTATGCCTTGTCTGGTGTCACTGAGAATGCTTCGCACCTGTAATAGCAGAGTAAGACTGTAAAAGATATACAGTTGTCTGTGGATGAGCAGGTACACAGAGACCTTAATTTAATTTGTGGTCATTCCATATAATATTTGCATTTACAGTACTTTTAAAACTAGCTAACCTCTATTATTTTTAAAATACTACATTTATTCTTTCATAGTTCAGTGGTTTTTTTTTTTGGCTCTTGTTATCTGACATCTAGGTGCTCTTTAGTTGTGTCTAAAGGCTTTCTTCTGTTTGCTGAATATGTATCTGTTTCATTAACCCGTAAACAGTCCAAACGCATACACACCGTATACGTTTTTACCGCTACTGCCCCAAACGTATATTTATGTTTTATTTTTCATTCCTTCCAAATTGGCGCGATAGGCCTGAGTTCCGTAGACATGAGAGAATGGATGTGGGCACTCAGTGTGCGCATTATCAAAAAAATCTGGGACGCCTGGGTACCGCATGGTAGGACCAGTTACATTCAGCTCTATCTTGGGTCAACATCATGGCACATCCTCGTGATTCACTCACGCCTCGTTGTATTAACACTATTATTCGAGGAAAGTGATATGGAAGGTCAGTTTAGTGGATTTGACGCAGATGTAGCTACTAATAATCAAGGAAATAGTGAAAATATAGACGATAACCCAGATGACCCTCAGCCCATCACCTCTGGGGTGGCCAGTGTGGCCACACCAGACCCTAGGCCAAGCACTTCTGGGGAGGCCAGGGTGGCCACACCAGACCCTGGGCCAAGCACTTCTGGGGTGGCCAGTGTGGCCACACAAGACCCTGGGCCAAGCACCTCTGGAGTGGCAAGTGTTACACATAGGCAACTACTAAAGTGAAAGTGATATATGTGACAATGAGATTGATTTTATGCCATTAGAGGATTCGTCTAGTGACAGTGATCATTATTCACCAGTGAAGTGTACTTTTAGGCATCATTACCCACGTTCAGGCAGTGTGCCATTTGCAGTCGGCGGCAAGGGTCATGACAGGTCACGATCCAAAACCCCTGCCACTGATAGTGAAAGTGATCATGAAGGTGAATATGTGGGGATGGAGGAAATAGTGGTGGGTGGCACGGTGCCTGGACCACATGGCGCAGTGGGTGGACAGACAAAGGACCGCCCGGCATCCCCTCAACCATGTGCTGCCTCCACTCCTGTCCCCCCTCCTGTTCTCCCACGCCCCATGCCAGAAGTCTACCCTGTACCATGTGACCGAGAGTGGAACTGGACACAAAGTACATTTGTGCCGGAGCCTTTTGATTTTGATGTGAATGGAAGTGGCATCCTGCCAGAATGTCCCATAATGAATGAGTCTACAGAGTTAGACTTTTTCCAGTTATACTTTGACGAGCCTATAATGAGCTTGATAGTGACCCAGACGAACAATTATTACCGCTATATCATGGACAATACACCAGAGGTTGGGGAATCGTCACAGCTGCACAGATGGAAAGATACAACAGTGGATGAAATGTATTTATTCCTTGCCACTGTCATACTTATGCCACATACCTATAAGAACAATATACGTAACTACTGGACCACAGACTACTTTATCAGTACTCCTGTCTTCTGTGACCTCCTTCCCTGCAACAGATTCATTCTGTTGCTACGAATGTTGCACTTCTCAGACAGGAATAGGCCCAACAGAAATGACCTATACAAAATCCGGGAAGTGTATCTATATGAAGAAGAAATTCAGTGCCTACTTTTATCCCTTCAAGAATATTGTCGTTGACGAGTCCTTGATTCTGTTCAAGGGATGCTTGTCATTCAAACAATATATACCGAGCAAACATCATCGCTTTGGTATAAAACGTTTTATGTGTGACTGTGAGAGTGGTCTTGTGTTGGATGTGATTGTATATACCGAGAAAAACACACTCGGCGATACCAGGCGCATGTTGGGCATTTCTGGTGATGTTCGAAAAATGATGGAACCATACCTTGGCAAGGGCTATACATTGTACACAGACAACTGGTATACCAGCCCTATGCTCGATGATTTCCTACGTGTGAACAATACTGATATATGTGGAACCGTGAGAAGGAATAGGAAATATATGCCAAGGTTCAGTGGAGGCAGTATTGAAGGTGCAATGCAAGCATTTCATGCCAATGACATCATGGCACTGATGTGGCATGACAAACGGGATGTGACATTGTTGTCAACCATCCACAGAAACGAGATGGTACAAACAGACAAATTGAACAGGGAGACCAATGAACGTACTGTATTGTCAAGCCAGCTGCTCTTGTCGACTATACAAACAATATGCGACTCGTTGACAAGTGTGACATTTTGATAGGGTTCGTTGACTGTGCGTGTAAGTCGCAAGTGGTATATAAAACTGTTTTTTCACCTTGTAGACATTGCAGTGCTCAATGCATTCAATATGTACGAAATAAAGACTGGAAAAACGACAACGTTTTGCAGAATTCTCCCTGAATGTCCTAAAACAGATAGCAAAAAAGTATGGTACCACACCTGTACCTGCCCCTCAACAGCGACCTGTCACACCACAACCTGTCCCCCAACCACAACCATAGCCAGTGGGGGAAGTGCCAGACCGAATCATCCCTAACTGTCACTACTTGGTACCAATACCACCTAACCCAAAGAAGAAGCATTCCCAGAAAAAGTGTGTTGTGTGTGCTACCACCACAAAACGACCCCAACAGCGGAAGGACACACAATACATTTGTAACCAGTGTGGGGTGGCACTCTGAGTCCATGCTTCATGGAGTATCATACAATCGTGGAGTTCTAGAAACATAAGTGGGACATGTAAATAATTGTATATAGTTGTAGATAATAATGTGTGATTCAACCAGGTGTGCAAAATCACCTGTCAGTGTATACATGTGTGTCTGTGACAATATAATAATTTTGTATATATTATTGGTGTATTATATATTATATATTATATATTATTGGTAGTAGGTTGGTAGACAGCAACCACCCAGGGGGGTACTACCGTCCTGCCAAGTGAGTGTGAAACGAAAGCCTGTAATTGTTTTACATGATGGTAGGATTGCTGGTGTCTTTTGTCTGTCTCATAAATATGCAAGATTACAGGTACATCTTACTACTTCTACTTACATTTAGGTCACACTACACATACATGTACATGTTTATTTATACACACTCATCTGAGTTTTCTTTGATTTTATCTTAATAGTTCTTGGTCATATTACTTTTCCTTTTATATCCATGGGGAAGTGGAATAAGAATCTTTCCCCCGTAAGCATGTTGTAAAAGTCAACTAAAATGCTGGGAACAATGAGCTAGTAACCCCTTTTCCTGTAATAATTACTAAAAAGAATATGAAGAAGAAAACTGTCAAAGTGGGAAGTCTGAATGTGCGTGGATGTTGTGCAAATGATAAGAAAGAGATGATTGTGGATGTTATGAATGAGAAGCTGGATGTCCTGGCTTTAAGTGAAACAAAGCTTAAGGGGGTGGGAGAGTTTCATTGGAGAGGAATAAATGTGATTAGGTCAGGGGTTTCAAATAGAGTTAGAGCTAAAGAAGGAGTAGCAATAATGTTGAAGGATAAGTTATGGCAGGAAAAGAGGGACTATAAATGTATTAATTCAAGGATTATGTGGAGTAAAATAAAGGTTGAATGTGAAAAGTGGGTTATAGTAAACATATATGCACCTGGAGAAGAGAGAAGTGTTGAGGAGAGAGAGAGATTTTGGGAAATGTTGAGTGAATGTGTGGGGAGTTTTGAACCAAGTGTGAGAGTAATGGTGGTTGGGGATTTCAATGCTAAAGTGAGCAAAAATGCTGTGGAGGGAGTAGTAGGTAAATTTGGGGTGCCAGGGGTAAATGAAAATGGGGAGCCTTTAATTGAGCAATGTGTAGAAAGAGGTTTGGTAATAAGTAATACATATTTTATGAAGAAGAGGATAAATAAATATACAAGGTATGATATAGCATGTAATGAAAGTAGTTTGTTAGATTATGTATTGGTGGATAAAGGGTTGATGGGTAGGCTCCAGGATGCACACATTTAAATAGGGGGCAACTGATATTTCGGATCATTATTTAGTTGTAGCTACAGTTAGAGTAAGAGGTAGATGGGAAAAGAGGAAAATGGCAACAACAAGCAAGAGGGAGGTGAAAGTGTATAAACTAAGGGAGGAGGAAGTTCTGGTGAGATATAAGCAACTATTGGCAAAAAGGTGGGCTGGTGCAAGTATGAGTAGTGGGGGAGTTGAAGAGGGTTGGAATAGGTTTAAAAATGCAGTATTAGAATGTGGGGCAGAAGTTTGTGGTTATAGGAGAGTGGGTGCAGGAGGAATGAGGAGTGATTGGTGGAATGATGAAGTAAAGGGTGTGATAAAAGAGAAAAAGTTAGCCTATGAGAGGTTTTTACAAAGCAGAGGTGTTATAAGAAGAGTAGAGTATATGGAGAGTAAAAGAAGTGAAGAGAGTGGTGAGAGAGTGCAAAAGGAGAGCAGATGACAGAGTGGGAGAGGCACTGTCAAGAAATTTTAATGAAAATAAGAAAAAATTTTGGAGTTAAACAAGCTAAGAAAGCCTAGAGAACGAATGGATTTGTCAGTTAAAAACAGAGTAGGGGAGATAGCAGATGGGGAGATGGAGGTTTTGGGTAGATGGCGAGAATATTTTGAGGAACTTTTAAATGTTGACGAAGAAAGGGAAGCGGTAATTTCATGCACTGGCCAGGGAGGTATACCATCTTTTAGAAGTGAAGAAGAACAGGATGTGAGTGTGGGGGAGGTGCGTGAGGCATTACGTAGAATGAAAGGGGGTAAAGCAGCTGGAACTGACGGGATTATGAGAGAAATGTTAAAAGCAGGGGGGATATAGTGTTGGAGTGTTTGGTATTTTTGTTTAATAAATGTATGAAAGAGGGGAAGGTACCTAGGGATTGGCAGAGAGCATGTATAGTCCCTTTATATAAAGGGAAAGGGGACAAAAGAGATTGTAAAAATTATAGAGGAATAAGTTT